AGTTTGCAACAAATACCCCAAAGTTTTTATTAATACTACTGAAAAGTATAATTTGAGGGTTAAGGTTGAAAATAACTTGTGTAGTAGGGTTATTAATTGCTTTTTAAATATCTGATACCTGTAAATCTGCCTGGACTGGGGATTTTCCCTTTTGGGGAAACTCCTTTGGGGTTTGTTCAATTTTCTTTTCTGAGACTGGCCTGTTTAAAATGTCTGCTTCACATTCTATCAATCTGGATGGTTTATATTTTTCTTTTAAAAGTCTCAGTTTTTCTAGTATATAATTCTACATAGTTGACTCTGACAATTCTTTTTATTTCTCCTCTGTTATGAACACCATTTCAAATGGCAACAAAATTCAAGATACAAACACTAGGCAACATCGGTCCTGATGACATACACCTTTAAAAGAATCAATGGTCAAATATTATCCTGGAAGCCTGCATGCACTATCAACTTATTCACTGTTTACACTGTTTGGATTACGTGTTCTGGAGAAGCGTGAATCCTGAGGATTCAATTGTGAAGACAACTGAGTCTTGTATAATGAGATGAAAACAATTTACCAACAAAACAAAAGAAAGTAAAAGGATGATGATGACGTCTGAATTTCCAATGGCGGCAGTAGGGCTGTAAAGAAAAGAACCAACAGAAAAGTCTGTTCTGGTAGGAGAGGTTGTGGAGAAGAGGGGAGGAAGATGCTCCCTCTTCTTTTCCTCCCAAGATAGATTCTAAGGTCGACAAAAGCAAACTAGAAATCATTTCTCTCCCTATTTTGTGTCTCCATCATGAACAGGTGAAGGAAGGGGTTCCCTGCAGGGCTTCATCCTCATCAGAGCCCCATCACACCCCTTTCATGAGGGCGTATCGCAGACTGGAAAGGGACCTGAACATGGGAGTCAAGAGCTTCGGGCTGAGAGCTCAGCTCGGACCCTTGCTGGCTCTGGGCCACAAGTAACACTCAGTCTTCTTGTTTCCTCCTTCATGAAAAGGGGAAGACGATCCTTCAGACAGTCATGTGGAAAGCAACTTATAAATCTTAATTCACTAATACATGCGGAGAAGTGGAGATCGTCAGTGCAGGGCAGTCCCTCCACCAACAGAAACCCAGACTCATCCATAACTTCAGGGAATCATCTTGGCAAGGTTCCTGAAGCCCAAGAGAGGTCGGGGGAATTGTCAGGGACCCCACAGTAAGTATGGCATGGGAGATCTGAACTCAGATCCTTCTGCCTCCACATCCAGGAGTCAATTCCCAAGCCCAAGCCGCCTCTATGGAAACCTTTGCACTCTTATCCAAATGGGGTCTTCGGGAGTTAACTTCAAAACCTCAAGGACCTGTGGTTTCTCCCTCCGGAGAGAGAGATTACAATCTTTCTGTATGGCTTTAGGGGTAGCTGGACCGCCAAGTCGGCGATCACTTCACTTGCAGTAAATTCTTCCTTGTGCCTCTCCTAGGACTGTACCTAAGGACCATAGACCCTCTGCTCAGTAAGGAGGCAAACCCTCAGGTATGCGGTTATGAGCCATCAGTCAAAAGAATGTATCTCCCTTGAGATTATCACTTTAAATATTTGGGAGAAATGGATCAGCTGAATTATGCCCATTACAACAGCCCCATCTGCTGACAATGCGCTGTCAGTGACAGTGCCGACAAACAGCACATGACCAGCCACCTTCTGAAGCAGCACAGAAAGAAACCCTTAAGGTCAAATCCTTCAGAAAAAATCACAACTCAAACCACGGATCATCTTCTTCAAAGTCTGCCCAGCACTCTGTTTGGAAACTAACTGGTTTCAGGAAGTCCACCTGAAACACATCTGCTACAATCTCAAAGTACCTGATTTCAGAGTCCTGAAATTATAAGGGGCGGAGGAGAAATCATGTTCAGAGACATTGGGCAGAGCCTATCTGGAACAAAACAAACAACAGAGAGAGTGAGAGCACATCTGCGACTAACCCACCCTCAGCCAGCCCAAAACTCGGGAAAACTCGCCCGTTTCCTGCCTGCGCTCTCAGTGAAGAAGGGGCTAGTAAGAGCGACGTGACGAGGCGCGGGCAGAACCCAGAGAACGACCTCTACGACCTCTGAAACATAAAGAGAAACGACCCTGAGAGATCACGGCTGGCCCACGAGGACCCAGCACGCCGAGAGGCACGCAGCGAGGCCCAAGTCATCACTACAGCCAACGGACGGGTTCTTTTTTTCACTTTTGTTTACAGGTTCTGAGGATGTAAAAAGAGAGGAGATGGGACCACTGAGCATGATGAAGAAAAGAGTGAGAACACCGATTAACATTCAAAATACATAGGCGCATTGGGGTGAGATGAGAACACCGACAAGAGGGGCAGTTTCAAGACTAATGGGCCCAACTTCCTGCAGCCTCGAGGCCAGCATGGCCCTCTAGGTCCTCAAGTGCAGCCCTTTGACTGAATCAAACCTCACACAACAAATCCCCTTAATAAAAGCATTTGTTCCGTAAAAGTTGGACTCAGTCAAAAGGCCGCACCCAAGGACCCAGAAGGCCAAGTGTGGCCCCCAGGTCAAAGTTCCCCACCCCTGACACATTTTAAAAAATAAAATTTACATGTTGTTTATATATGAAAAAACTGATGTTGATGTTTGTGAAGTTGGGAATAATGCAAAAATGTAAATTTACTTAAAAACAGATATGTAAAAATCAAGTCAAAAGAATTCATATCTCCTAGCTGTTATTTTTTTGATTCTGTAAAGTTGAGGAATTCTTGTTAAAAGAAGACTCCAGTCACGAGGTGGTCAGTGGTGGCCTTACCGGCAGCCCCTGCTAAGAGCAGCCCAGCATCCTCCATGACGTGTCTCCCGAGGCCTGGGGATGGGGAAGACCAGGCTAATGGGGGCTGCCCCATACGATGACACACGCCACCCGGAGAAGGCTCCCGGTGTGTGCCACAGATCCACTCTGGAGGATGCACCACAAGAAAGGGGCGAGGGCAATAAAGGAGCAGAGGCGTGGACCAGCTGCCATCAGCACTGGGCGGGGCGGTACCTCTTGCCTGGACTAGCTCATGAATCTGGACAAGTCACCTTGAAAGACCAAGAATTCTTCCACAGCCCCCAAAGCACTTCATAGCAAAACCTTCCCAAGTGCCTAAAACATCAGCACGCACACAGTGGGGGATGGGATGGGGAGAGACAATCCCCTGGTCGCCTCACAAGGGGGCAGGACTGAAGAGACCTGAGTCAGCAAGAAGAAACCGTCTCCGTGTAAACCCTGGAGGAGCCGTCAGCAAGTAGAGATCTGGGCTTGCTTCTGAAGGGAAGAATATCAGGGTCATGAGCCCCAAGGGCTTGAGGACTCTTGAGGCCGGCCCAGGGCAAAGAGAGACCTCCTACGGCCAGCACGGACCTGAGCCTGGCCCCGCAGCCCTCCTGTGTGACCGGAGCCCAGGCAGACCAGAGGGCAGCTAAGGCCCTTCCCAGGCCTCTGTCCTCCATGACCTACCCCCAGGTCGTGCCACCCCAGGGGAGTATAAGCGCCTGGAGGGCAGGAATGGCCTCAGGGACAGCCCCAGCACACAGTCCACACCCAGTGTGCCGCACTCAGTAGGTGCTGATAGATGTGGGTTAAACTGAATCAATCCTGTGGTGAGTAAGAAAGAAAACCTCCAGGAGGGTCGTGCACTGCCAGAGGAGAGCGGGGAGCAGGAGCCAGGCTTTAATTCCACACAAAGCAGTCTGGGACCTGTAGCAAATTGAGTGTACCACAGGCTTCTAAAATGAATTCTTTCCACAACAGACTCAATGACAACACAAATTTTCTGGGCAGCGAGGTGGCAGAGCAGACCGAGCACCCACCCTGGAGTCAGCAGGACCTGAGTTCAACTCTGGCCTCAGACACTTGACACTTATTAATTTTGTGACCCTAGGCAAGTCACTTAACCCCAACTGCCTCACCCAGAAGAAAAAAAAACAACACAAATTTCCTCTTTACTAAACATGAGAGTCTGAATTACTCTACGATCATTTTTTTTAAATGGCAACAAAAAAATCTCCCTCTAAAGTCATAAAATCACAGAAAAAAATAGCGACACAGCCCTCCTTCTCCCTCCCACTCCAATCTGGGACAGGTTGCTCTGCCCACTGGCCGATCGGGAGTTAACAAGCAAGAAGATGAAAAGGACTTTAAAACACAAAGAAGGCACTGGAGGCTTCTGTGGCCAGGGAAGGCATGTTCTCCTCACTCTCCCTCCTTTTCTCCTTTCCTCGCCCCCCATGCTCTCTCTGACTGTCTCTGTGTCTCTTTCTCTCCCCCCTCTCTCCACCCTGCCCCCCATCTCTCCCTGTGTCTCCTCTCTCTCTCTCTTCTCTCTCTCTCTTCTCTCTCCTCCCCGTGTCTGTCTCTCTGTCTTTGTCTCTCTCCTCTCTCCTCCCTCTGTCTCTCTCTCCTCTCTCTCTGTCTCCCCTCTCTCCTCTTTGTCTCCCCCCTCTCCTCTCTCTCTCTCTCTCTCTCTCTCTGTCTCCTCTCTCCTCTCCCTCTGTCTCTGTCTCTCCATTTCTCTGTCTCCTCTCTCTCTCTCTCCTCTCTCTTTCTGTCTCCTCTCTCTTCTCTCCCTCCCTCCTCTCTCTCTCTGTCTCCTCTCTCCTCTCTCTCCCTCTCTCCGTTTCTCTGTCTCCTCTCTCTCTCTCTCTCTCTCTCTCTCTCTCTCTCTCTCTCTCTCTCTCTCTCTCTTTCTGTCTCTCTCTCTCTCTCTGTCTCCTCTTTCTCTCTCTCTGTCTCCTCTCTCTCTCTCTCTGTCTCCTCTCTCTCTCTCTCTCTCTCTCTCTCTCTGTCTCTGTCTCCTCTCTCTCTCTCTGTCTCCTCTCTCTCTGTCTCCTCTGTCTCCTCTCTTTCTCTCTCTCTCTCTCTCTCTTTCTGTCTCTCTCTCTCTCTCTCTGTGTCCCCCTCCCCCTCTCCCCAGCCCACTGTGGCTGGCACAGGGGGTCACACCATCCCCCTGGGCAGTGCCACACAGGCTCCTACCTGGATCCAAGCACATGAACTTGCAGCACTCCTTGGGGTCCTTGTCGTACTGCTGGCAGCCCTGGGGCCCCTCGCACAGCGCGGCCACGCACATCTCGGGCTCCCCGTTGTGGCATGTGCAGCTCAAGCAGGGGTCGTTGCCCTTGGGCGTGAAGTGGTGGCCTTCCCCCACGATGTTGTCCTTGATGTCCACACATGTCTGGCCTGTGACAGACACAGAACAGCAGGATGTTCCGAGAGGTCACAATGAGCAGAGGCAAAGGACAGTGGGGGAGGACAGGGTTTGGATCCTGGGCCTGCAACTGCCTCCACGTGACCAGGGGCCAGTCACCTGTTGGATGCTCAGCGTCCTCCCCTGTAAAACGAGCGACCTGGAACCAATCTCCTCCTCCGCTCCCTTTAAAATCCCAGCCCAGCCCACAGACACCCGTGCAGTGTGTGTCTCCAGCACCCCAGCCTGACAGGGGGTCACGGCCTCCACGCCAAGGCCTCCACAGTCAGCACAAACCCAGTGGAGTCAACTTCTGAACAGAGCTCAGTGTTAGGAGCACGGCTCTCCTGCAGAGACAAAATCAATCTCCACCTACACAAACAGGAACTGGCTGACTGGCAGGGCTGCCAGGACTGAGGCACGATAAGCCGATCAGCTGACATTAACAAGCCTCCACTACGTGTCCTGTGCTTAGAGCAGGAGGCGCCAGGATGATGAATGAAATGATTCCAACTCCAAGGAGGGGGGAAGGACAGGAGGCCGGAGGCGGGGCGACTGCATGCACAGAGCTCCCTCCTCTACCCCAAGGCCCCCAAAGGTACGCATGTACCGGGCCCACTCTCCGACTCACACGCTTTGTACATCATGCTACCAACCGGCCGCCACTCTCAAAAGGCCTTGGGTTAATTCATTAAACCACCAGGGCACGGGGCCGGCGAGGGGCACGTCCGACGAGGACCAGTGCGGCCAGTCACACAGGGCTGGGGGGAGTCCTCAGGGGCCTGGAAGCTCACTCCCTTGCTTTCTGCCTGGCTCATGTCATTAATGACAATAGCAGCCCACCTCCCTCAAGGGCAGCCTGTCTGCGGCTCACCAATCCCTGAGAACGAGCATCAGTCTTTCATGTGGACCCCTGGGCACAGCTGCTAAGTGACACTTGGGCCCCAGCTCGCCCTTCTAAGGCCAGGGAAAGGCAACACCTCCAGCTAAGACACTCAGGAGCCAGGCCGTGCCTGCCACTCTCTGAACCCTTGGTTTCCTCATCTGGTCTGTCTACTACCCACCTGATGGGGCTGTGGTGAAGAGCCTGATAAACTTAAAACAGGAACACGATGACAGTTATTACGGCAGAGAGTTCCTGTGAACTCCTGAGCGCTTCCCTCAGCGACCGCAGGGAGGGCCTGCCCTGCACTGCCCTGCCCTGCCTGACCCCACGTCACGAATCCACTGTGGAATCATGACCTGGCTGGTTGGTCTCTTTCCAACACCAAGAACACGCAGAGTTCTGGCCATCATTTGTCCCCTTTTGGTCTCAATCACAGTGGCATCTGGGGCAGGAATCTGAGGGTGCTGTCTAGAGCAGGGTCACGCAGCCAGGCGGGCTCAGAGGCGGGCTGGAGCCCTGGGCTTCCTAGCTTTGAGGCCAGCTAGCTCTCTCCCCCCAGGCCGGGGCTGCCTCTCCCGCTTACACTGTTAGGCAATGCTCCCCCACACTAAAATACGGAGCTAACCAGCAAGCGTCCTGTGACGGGAAGCCCAAAGTACCCGTCTGAGACCAGAGTAGGCCTGAGGAGGGGAGGCCACCACAGCCCTGGGGGCCTTGGTGCAGAGGCCGCACAGCCCTGAGGGACTTGATTGGGAGGCAGGGAAGGTCACCGCAGCCCTGGGGACCCTGGTCAGGAGGCAAGGGAGGCCGCCAAAGCCCTGGCAGCCATGGTCGGGAGGCAGGGGAGGCCACTGTGGCCCCGGAGGCCATGGTCTGGAGGCAGAGAAGGCCACCACAGCCCTGGCGGCCTTGGTGCGGAGGGCCGCACAGCCCTGAGAGCCCTGATTGGGAGGCAGGGGAGGTCACCGCAGCCCTGGGACCTGGTCAGAAGGCAAGGGAGGCCGCCAAAGCCCTGGCAGCCATGGTCGGGAGGCAGGGGAGGCCACTGTGGCCCGGAGGCCATGGTCTGGAGGCAGAGAAGGCCACCACAGCCCTGGCGGCCTTGGTGCGGAGGGCCGCACAGCCCTGAGAGCCCTGATTGGGAGGCAGGGGAGGTCACCGCAGCCCTGGGGACCCTGGTCAGAAGGCAAGGGAGGCCGCCAAAGCCCTGGCAGCCATGGTCGGGAGGCAGGGGAGGCCACTGTGGCCCCGGAGGCCATGGTCTGGAGGCAGAGAAGGCCACCACAGCCCTGGCGGCCTTGGTGCGGAGGGCCGCACAGCCCTGAGAGCCCTGATTGGGAGGCAGGGGAGGTCACCGCAGCCCTGGGGACCCTGGTCAGAAGGCAAGGGAGGCCGCCAAAGCCCTGGCAGCCATGGTCGGGAGCAGGGAGGCACTGTGGCCCCGGAGGCCATGGTCTGGAGGCAGAGAAGGCCACCACAGCCCTGGCGGCCTTGGTGCGGAGGGCCGCACAGCCCTGAGAGCCCTGATTGGGAGGCAGGGGAGGTCACCGCAGCCCTGGGGACCCTGGTCAGGAGGCAAGGGAGGCCACCAAAGCCCTGGCAGCCATGGTCGGGAGGCAGAGGCCGCACAGCCCTGAGGGCCCTGATTGGGAGGCAGGGGAGGCCACTGTGGCCCTGGGGACTTCAGTTGGGAGCAGGGAGGCCATCTCAGCCTGAGGGCCCCAGGTTGGGAGGCAGGGGAGGCTGATGCTTACTTCGTTTGCAGAGGAAGGAGGACTTCTCGTAGCAGTTCTCTGCATACCAGCTATGTAAGTCGTGGTGCCGCAGGGTAGGGAAGTGGAAGCACTGGAGCTGGGCACAGAGCACGTTGTCATTCTCAGGCACAGCCGAGGCGAAAATGGGGTCTGGTGGCAAAAAGACCTCGGAGGGACCTGCAGGAAGAACCCAAACAGGCACGAGAACATGAGGAGATGGACTCCGCCCCATCTAATGCCAGCTCATCTGCGTCTAAGGGAGGGGAGCTGGCACCATGGGGGGGGGGGACTCCGCCCTCGGGAGGTCCTGCCTTGTGCTCGAGCTCCGTGGGCACAGCCAGCCAGGGGCCAGCCAGCCCAGCAAGGCACAACTGCATGAGGAATTCAGGGAGAGGAGCCTAGCTCTACAGCTGAGAGGGACCCACTCCACAGACAAGGAGACTGAGGCATCTGCCCAGTCACCCAGCTAGCCGCCGATCCGCACTGCCAAGGCACTTTTACAGGATGCCTCGCGTCCTTAAATTATCCCCACAGCAAAGGGCTTACAGTAAAGAGGAGTGCTCTGAAGATGAGAGCAGACCCAGTCTGCAATCCCAGCTTGGACTGTGTGATGAGCCACACAACTCCGGCCTCTGCCTGGACAAGGGAGGAGGAGAAGCCAGGGATAGGAGACGACACTCTGCCCTGACCTGTGGCCTTGTGGTGCGTTTCGCCGTGTCCAGCAGAAGGAAGGAAGGAAGTGAAGGAAAAGAGCGTTGTAGGCAGGGAAGATGGCCAGAGAGAAAGCCCAGAGCCGAGGGAGGGAGGGTCTTGCTCATGGAACAGCCAGGAGGCTGGGGGCACTGGATGGGAGAGGACGTGCAGGGGAGTGAGGTGTGAGAAGGCAAGAAAGGGAGGACAGCACTTTGTACCTGATCCTGGAGGCCACAGGAGTTTATGGAGGAGGTGACAGGGTCACCCCCACGCTTTAGGAAAATCACTTTACTGACTGCATGGAAAGAGACCTGAGGAAGGGAGCTCCCTGCCCCCCAGCTGCTGCAACAGTCCGGGGTGAGGGGATGGGGGCAGTGGCCGAGGACAGGAGGGGCACATTCTGCCGAGCTTCTTGGAATTCCTCCTCTTCCTTTCCCCTCTGTTCTCTCTACAATCACAACTATCGAGGGATCTCACAGGGCAAATGTGACCTTGTGGAGGGCGGGGGGGGGGTGGCGTGAAGGTTATACTTGACTCTACCAAGTCAGATAAAAAGAATGAGATGCGCTCCAAAGCGTTCAGTGCACTGCGCAGCGGCAGAGACGGGGTCTGCTGCTAAGTGTGCCACGGCCTCCGGCCTGTCTCGCTCTTACATTTTCATTAAGGGCAGCCTCATCAGATAGATAAAGCAGTCTCATGAAGATGAGAAAGCAGGCATTTCAGCCAACATTTACTGATGTCTTCTTTTAATACCTTTTTAGGTATTAATATTATTCTGATCTTTTCCATTCCTTTGGAATCTTCCCTTTTTTGAAAAAACAACAGCTCATTTTTGTGAAGCAGGCAAGGCCAGGATTATCTCCATTTTACAGATGAGGAAACTGAGGCTCAGAGAGGCTAGGTAGGGCCATGAATCCATGTGGAGGCTCCCCTTCCCTCTCTGGAAGCCTTCAGGCAGAGGCTGCCCAGGAGCAGGGAACCCGTGCTAAGGGAGGGGCTGGACAAGACACCCCATCCCTGAGAGCCTAGGACCCAAAGCCCTGCCACTGGGCACAAGGCTCTGCCCTGCCAGATGGCTCAGCTGAACATTCACATTAGATCTGGCATGCCTTTCCTTCCCCATTCTAGGTGCACAGGCTTCCTTTCCATCCTTGGTACCCGAGTCCTTATCAGCTTATCCACAGGTGATACAAAGAACCTTTGGACATTCCATCCTGTGGCCCCTGACAGCCCCAGCTGCTTTTTCATTTGGGCCTGCCTGCTAGGGTCCCTAAAAAAGTACACCAGTACACCATCCTGAAGCTGCAGGGGGCCCCTAGGTTACCCAGCCTCCTCTGGGCAGCCTCTGGGGGGTGGTTTCCATCAGCTTTTCTCCAGCAGTTCCTGGGGTGGATGAGTCAGGGGATATGGAGCACATCCACTCTCTCTTCTCTGGGTCTCCTCCAAAGTGGCCAGCTCCCTGAGGGCTCTGGATTGTGGTCCTACAGCACAGAGGTGAAGAGGAGCTCTGTTCCCCCCAGGCAGCCACATGGAAGGCCACGCTGGTCACAACTGCAGGGCATTCACGGACTCACTGCCTAGAGGTGTACACTTACGGCTCATGGCTCATGGCAAATGTCTGTTCTCCAGTGGACAGTGAGGGCCATGAAGACAGAAACAAAGTGGACGATAAAAAGTCCTGTTCCATGCATGTCTTCATCTGATACCAAAAGGTCCAGGACGGCAGCATGTGGCTCAGAGCTGCAGCGATGGACGGGGAAGTCAATTGTCTGAGGATCAGGCCTAAGGAAGCAAGGGCAGGACTGCCTTCTTCAGGCCAGAGGCCCATGCTGAGACACAGCTGTTCCTAGCTGAGGCAGGGTGGCTCCGGAGGAGGGGAAAGCAACCACAAAGCAGGGCCCGAGTGTGAGCTGCTGCACACATGCCATACATACCACTGTGGAAGCTCCTTGATAACACAGGATGGCAGAAGACTGGGCACCCTACAGTGAGTAGTGGGAGAAGAGGTGGCAGACAAGGAAGGCCAGAGGCCCACCGGGGCTCCATCTCAATTCACTGGCAGCGGAATGGGGAACATTCCGTCAGACCCTGGGGCAGGCGAGTGGCCAGTCTGAAGGGGAGTGCCTCCCCTCAGCTTTTAAAGCTCGTCACCACCTGACCCTACACCTTATGTTTCCAGCCCTGCTGTACGTTACTCTTCCATCCCATACTCCGAGATCCGGCCAGAGTGGCCTTCTCTCTGTTTCTCACACGACACTCATCTCCCATCTCCATTTCTTTGGCCGCCCCCAGGCCCAGAATGCACTCCCTTCTCATCTCCAGCTCACAAAACCCCCCTCTTTGTTTCTATTTGCATTTATTCTTTTTATATTGATGCTGTACATACTTGTCTCCCCAGCAGAACATGAGGATATTGAGAGCAGGGATTGTTTCATCCTCTGAATCTGCAGAGCAGGTCCTGCTTCACAAATGCTGACTGCCTGACTGACAGGACCTTTTGAATGTGAGGTCTGATGAAGTAATCTGGCTGGCTTCCTGGGATCCTCTCTGGGATAAGCACTCGTATTTTTTGCACTCGGAGAAGCTGGCTCAAACAGCGACCAAATCTCTCGGTCCCCTTGATAGGCTGACTTTCACTGATCCCTTCTCCTGCTGACCCAGCACCAACCACAAGTGCGTGTACTTCCAATGGGCAAAGAATGGGAAGAAACGCAGGGGAATACCCTGGGCTCCTGCACTTCTGCAGGAGGCCCCTTCCCCAGGCAGCAGAGGCGAAGAGGGGTCCACGTCCATCCCCAGCTTGTGTGCTCTTCATCCCAGGCACTGCTTCTCCCCTTCTACGACTGAACTCTTCACAATGCACTCAGGTTATACCTAAGAGCAACAGGCACCACACGCCAACGAGATGGTCGCCACACGCTTCCAAGGTAAATCTTGGCTTTGCAGGCTTTGGGAACCGCCCGGATTCGCAAGCCCAGATGTGGGGTCAAGCTGTGTGCTGTCTTTCTGGAAAGAAAGGTTTTTACTGAAGAGGTTGGATACACGTGAGGCACAGCATGATGGAGAAAACAGGAAGAGGGTGGGGGGAAAGGGCGAGTGGAGAGGCCCCGGTGCTGGCAAAGCTCTCGGAGCAGGTTTGTTCCACCATGTTTCATGGGCTGCAGACGAAGACCTGTCCTGCTTCACTGGGGCTCCAGCCATGCTTACCCCTCCAGGCCTTAGGCTGGCTGGCTGAACTCCAGCGCCGTCAGCCTCTCCTCATGGCCTCCACCACAAGGCAGAGACACTTCTGGACAGAGCTTCAAAGTCAAAGACGCCATGCTCTCCTCCAGGCTGGCCAGAAAGTGAGCAGGGCTCTGTCGAGGCCCCCAGGGGCAGGTTCTGTCACATGGGCTGCTTTCTTCATGAGCCTGCACAGGGGCAGTCAGGGTGGGGGGCTTGGGGAGAGCCTTCCTTGAGCAGGGTCTGGGCTGTCACTGGGCTCTGGAAGAAGGCTGGTTCGAACCAGTCTGGTTGGAGCCCGGCCAGGATGCCCTCCAAGGCACAGGCACTCTGCTTGACCTGCATCTCCACGGAGTGCTCCAAGATCCTCAGGACTGGACCTGGGGACAGCCCTGGGCAGCTTCCACACTGGCATACATCTGCTCAGTCAACACCAGGTCCTCCTCTGCTTTCTCACCAGCCAACACCAAGGCCAGGTCCAGCGCTGCAACCGAAACCTTGAGTCACCCTTTTTTTGTGCCTGGACCGAAGAGGCCACAATCATTTCTATGTGAGGCTGCTGGCAGGAGCCTACCTGGAGAGCCAGAAAGGACCCAAGGACAGGTATCCAAGGAGCATCTAACTCTTCCCAATCCAGAGAGATAAGGCTCCTTCACTTTCAAACAGCACTCCTCCTTAGGGCCAAGCTCAGAAGCAAACGGTGGGTGCCCAGTGAGTACTTGCTGAACAATCACATGACCACAGACATATCAGGAAATCAGTCATGCAGCCCAAACCCTCATTTTTACAGATGAGGAAACTGAGGCACATGACAACTGGATGATATTTTGAAGCCAGGTTTTTCTGACTCCAAGGCCAATGCTCTGTCCCACCACACCCTCTAATGAATGAATAAGCGCCTGAGCAGGGGCACTTACCTTTGTGAGCCACCTCCCAGCGACCTTCTAGAGACCGGTTTCGACCAGTAATAACATACTGATAGCCCACCCAGAACCTGTAAAGACAGAGAAAAGAAAACCAGGGTGATTTCAATAGGAGAAACACCCCCATTGGGGTTTCTCTCTGTCTCTCACTGAGGGTCCATAACTCTATCAGACGGCTATTACTCTCCTGGCGGCCCAGCAACGGGGAACTCGACTCACAAGTGGCAGGAACACCGGGTTCCGGACCACCTCAGGCACCTTCTTATTTTCTTATTTTCTAAGCTTGTGCACGGCCTCTGGTTTTTTCTGAAGGCCACGTGGTTTAGAAGAATGAAACATCTCACTGCTACCCTTGGGTAGGAAGTCCCACATATACCCACTAGCGCACATGTTCTAACAGGCCCATGCCTGGGATGCCAGGAGGCCCACTGAGTCGAGAGACACAGCTCCAATTCCTAACTTAACTCAGCCTGTTGTGCCCATGATCCCATTTATAAAATGCAAATGACACACTCACCTGCAATCTCAGTAAGTCTTTGAAGAAAAAGCAGCAGTGAGCTTTGGGTGAAAAGTAGCATTTTCCACCTCCAGAGCTCAAAATAAATGCTTTCTTGGGTCTTGGTTTAACCAAGGGGATAAGAACATCTATCGTATCATTCACTCATCCTGTCAGGGCCACAAAGAATCAAAGGAAAGCCTAGACACAATCTTTTCATATTTGCAATTTCCTGCTGGACCCTAAGACTACAGTATGAAATCCGACCTTGCAGCTGATGACCTTTTACTCAGGGTGACAAACCCCCGAGACACCTGTCTTTCACCTTCATGCGGGCCAAAGAAGGGACAGTCTGGGGTGACTCTTTCCCCGATCCCCTGCATCCCCAAAGAAAACTAAGTCCTCAGCATCTTAACACTGAGCCCTAGTGCAGAAGGCTTAATTGTCCTGAAGCTCCTGGGCAGCAATCTGAGGAGGACCACAGGCCCCTCAGGTAGCATGGGCTGAGGAATACCATGGGCTCCATGGGTGGCTATCTGGTCTGGGGAAGAGCATGGACCACCACCGCCACCACCGCCACCCTACTTCCTCAGAATAGCATGTTCAAACACGTAAGATCAAAATCAGAGAATTATGGGGCTAGATGGTGCAGTGCATAGAGCACTGGCCTTGAAGCCAGGAGGACCTGAGTTCAAATGCAGCCTCAGACCAAACACTTGACACCTACTAGCTGTGTGACTCTGGGCAAGTCACTTAACCCCAATTGCCTTAAGAAAAAAAAATCAGAGGATTACAAAGGAAATCAAGTCTACTGAAATAGTTATTTAAAAAAACAATAAAGCCAGTTTGCAGACCTCGAGGTAAGAACGTCTGCCCCAGGACCTGCTGCCACTGACCAGCAGCTAGTCAGTACTAACGGGCTTGCCAGGCAGGGCCCTCAGAACATTCTAAACCTCAGAGGCAGATGACGACTTCAGAAGAGGGAGGCAGAACTGGAAACGTCCTCAGGAGTCAGCATCACCTTACTTCAAGGCCCAGAAAGGCTTTATGCACGGTCGCGGGGCGAAATGAAAAGACAGTCTCCACCACTGATGCAGGCCTGTGGTCTAAGTTCTTCTGTTCCCTAAGTTTCTAGGGCCGCCCCTCACCCTCAGCCCCTGTTAAATTTCCCGGCCAATGAGAGCACCTCCCTATTAGCGAGGGTGCCTTAATCAGATGAGAACACATGACCCCATGCCCAGCCTCAGAAGGCCTGCCTAGAGGGAGCAGGAAGCACAGGGGGTGTGCCTGACCGCAGAGAACAGACCCAGACACACAAAGCTGCAGGGAACAGGGGCAGAGAGAGAAACACTTCCCAGCTCCTAGAGCTTCCCCAAAGTGGCCTGGCCTGGCCCTCAAGGTCTGTAGCCCAGGCTGGCCCACCCCCTTTAAAGAGTGCTGGGAGCAGACGGGCCCCCGTGTGGCAAGGGCTGCCATGACAACAGCAGGTAAGGCCCCTTGTGCCCAGCTCCCACCACCTCTGGGCTGGGTATCTCCTTCTTCACCAGCCTGTGCGGCTCTGTGACTCACTTGCGTTGGTCCTTCCACCCAAAGGTCCTCTCCTGTAGGTCCCATTCCTGGGCCAGAACGAAGCGGAGCTCCTGGTCGGTCGTGAAGGCCACTAAAGAGCCATTCACCCTCTGGCAGGTCTGCACGGCATCCCAGTAATTCTCCCCATTTAGATAGACTTTGTAACAGCTGGCCGTGCCCTCGTAATGATGCCATCCCGTCGGGCACTTTCCTAGGAAACATGAAGGACAGAAGGGAAACAGTTCCCCCCAATTAGGACCGGAACATGAAAGAAACAGAAAGAAAATACATTTTCCCAGCCCAGGAAGCCTTTGCTGCATTTCCCTGAGAGCATAATTCAACCTAGGTCTAGCATGTATTAAGCAACACACTCCCACTCACACACACTCACAGACATGCACACGTTCACACACACACACACTCTCAAACATACACTCAAACGCACCCACACAGATGTGCATGTATGTACACATTCGTATACATACAATGTATACATGCATACACATCAGAGACTCCAGCAGAGTACATTCTAATAGGCCAGGCAAAAGCGTTTCTCTGTGGCAAATAAAGAGTTTCACAAAAGGAGAAGTTGAAGGGTGCTCAGGCTTCCCTGCCACACCCTATCTGATCCGGCTGGTATTTTTAATTGGGTCACATTCATCCACCAGGATTCAATACAACCTCTGGAAAGACATCTCTCTTCATCAAAGGAACAAGAGGAACCATTTCAGCCTCGAAAGGGAAAAGCCACCCAAACCAATGCTTTCGTGTTTGTCCTCTGGAGGAGAAGCAGCTTGGCAGCACCTGGGATTCTGCTTCTTTCACATTTCAGAAGCTCAGGATGCAGCGCCCCAAGCCCAAGTCCACTCAGTGACTAACCCTTAAATAGTTTTAAAGATAGCTCCTAGCTAACCTGGTTGTTTTCATTATAAAACAAGATGAAGACAAGCTAGTGGACATTTTATTCAGCCAATTAAAGTTTTCTAATCCCAATCCCCGATGCCACTGACAGTCTCATTCTCCTGAAAGCATCCAAATAGAGGGAAGCTTTGCTAGTTTACAAGGCCTAAATAAAGGTGCCCCCATGCTAGGGCTAGCAAGCTAAGATGAGGGACCATCGTTTCTCACCTGATATCTAGAGAGTCTCTCCTCCCTAAAGAGAACAACTAAAAAGCAACAGTCGGGCCCAACTGCCAGGTCATCCCTGTAAATCCAAAGAAGGCAAAGCCCAAGCCCTGGGCAGCCTCACCCAGCCCCCAACCCTTCCCGAGCAGTGGGTGCTCCGCCTGGTAACACCCAAAGGTTTGTAAAGTCCCTCACAACAAACCTAGGAGCGCACAATGCTAGTCTTCATCATCTTCCATCCACAAATGAGGAGATTAAGGCCCCAAAGGGTCACCGCAGTTAGAAGTGGCCATGCCTGGACTCCAAGACCCCCCAGGCTGGTCCTCTCTTGGCCAAGGCCCTGGCACTACCTACCTCTCCCTTCCAATGCCTGGATCACGAGGCTTTCTCCCAGAGATAAGACCCCTTGACTCTCTAGCTGTAACTCCCAGAATTCTGCTCCCCTCCACCTCTGATCCAGAGCTATCCAACATCAGGGTGATCTGGGATACATAATACACCTAACCAGTAGGCACCATCATCACGGAACAGAATATGTTCCAGGCACAGAATTCCTAAACCTCAATAGGATAAACGGCCTATTACCTGAAATCCACAATCCCCCAATTCTACTTCTTGAGAACTCCTGCTGGGCCCCCTTCCTGTGCCCGGGGACAGTCTCTTCCAGCTGAGGACAGCTGGAAGGTTCTAGGCACAGCCTTGGGCATATCTGTCATTTAAGTACCATCGAGGCCCAATTCAAAAAGACAGGGAGGAGGCCACTTCATGACAGTTCTCACTGTAAGGAGGCATTTCCTGAAGTCAACTTGAAAGCTGCCTCTCAGTAACTTCCACCCATTCTTCCTGTGTAAGTGACAACACCTGACTGCTCTGGGACTCAGTTTCTATATTTATAAAATAGGGATAATAATGCCAGAGACAGAGTTATTGGATCAAATACAATAATGTACGTTAAGGACTGCATGTGTCTCAGATTTCACCATGACTAGTTTAAAAAAACGCCGTCTCCTCTGGAAAGCCTTTCTTGAGACCTTCTGGGGTCCACAGCAGAACACTTCCAATGGCTCTCTCAAATCACAGTCTCCCATGCTTGCAGGCAGCTGCCATGTGCCCCTTAAGTCTGCCCTTCTTAACACTCAAAATCTCCTATCCTCACATCATGATGTGCTGAGTAAGGCCCTTCCTTCCCCACCCTGGCTGCCTTGCTCTGGACCTCTCCAGCTTATCCAGGTCCTTAATGTGTTGCCCAGACCTGACCCCAGGAGTGGGCTCTGACCAGGGCCCAGGAGAGCAGCACTCCCACCCACCTTGTGCAGGACCTTCTGGATGCAGCCTATGACCTCACTAGCCACTACTATGGCTCACTATCCATGAAGCTGGAAATTTACAACAAGTGAATTCTTCAGCCAGTGCTGAATCAAGGGGTCTTATCTCTGGGAGAAATCCTTGCGATCCTCACCTCTTTCAAGTGAACTGCCCGACCACATTCCAACTCTTCCTAGCTTCATCATGTTGATTTTTGGAACCCCTATTGATTTCTACTCAATTTCATCTTCTTAGATTTGACCCACTAGTGCAGATTAACAACTCATCTGTGGCTTATAATTACTGTTCCCCACCCAGGTAACATTACAGACTCCCCCCCCCAAAACTTCCCAAATATTCTATTAAAAGGCCCCACATCCAAGTTGTCCAGATCATTTTGGATCCTGACCCTGTCACCTGACCTTCTGCCTCTCCCTCCCAGATCTGTGTCATCTGTAAATGTGAAAAGCACGTCCCCTCTATTTCCAAGTCATGAGGGTATCAAACACTGAGCTGTGGGGTCCTCCACTACAGACCTTCTGCCAAGCTGACACAGAACACTCACGACTCCTTTCTGAGTGAATTCTTCAGCCAGTTCTCAATCCGCCGTTAGCCTACATCTCATCTCATCCACAAGAGGAGCAAGAGACTGTCAAACGCTCTGCCATGTAGATAACTGGGCCCACCGTCTTCCTCTGATGTGCCACTCTAGGCGGCCTATCAAACACGGCCATGAGCCTGATCTGGGTGGAACCGTTCTTAAAGGAGCTGAACAGGCTCGCTCTCAGTGACCACCGTTTCCTTTTCTCGATGACCACTGATTCAGACCTGGGACTTCCCTGGTGAAGGGAGCTTCTGGGGAAAAAACTACTGCTTCCCAGAGGAGGTCAGCAAGTATCCTGCAAATCACAGTCTCAAGAGCGTGGCCTGGGATTCATGGCTTCATAGACCATCCTGCTCTCCTTTGTGCAGGGAAATGTTTGTGTTTCTTGATGTCTGTCATATTCACGATAATAAAGGGGCTGCATGGAGGACTGAGAGTAAGTTAAATGACTTGCCAGGAGTCACATGCCAGGAGGCATCAGAGGGGTGACTTGAAAACCCAGGTCTCCCTGACTCCAAAGCCTGTGCTCTATTGCCTGTGTTACGCTGTCTCTCTACTTTACTAATTAGACTTAAGGAAAAAAAAACTCAACCCCTACCAGAACACAGAATTTGGCACAATCCTGCCCACAGGACTGTGACATCTATGATAAAAATATCACTTTGATGTCTAGCCAAAACCACTGGGTGTCTGATCCAGTAGGAAGGTGTCCACAGACCTTCCCACCTCATAAACAAAGACCATCACAAGTCTACAACTTACTGCTAAAGCGGACGGGCTGCGCCACATTCACCGTGTGGAAGCGGGTGGCGTCTCCTCTTCCACGACTGGGCCGTGAATCCATGGCCTCCTTTCCATGATAAGAACGTTGGTCCCCAGGTACATCTAAAAGTAAAATAAAATGTCTAATAACCACAAAATGATCTATGCTTTTTGAAGTTTAGCTAAAATGCTTCAGAATGGCACACAAAGGAAGAGTTCAAGAGCTAACTGGTGACAGACACCATTTTAATTGGAGAAATGAATTCATTCAGTACTTTTTATTATAAGCCAGTATCAGTCAAAATCAACAAGCTTTTATTAAATGTCTGTCAGCCTGCCAAGGGCACTGGGGCTACCCTCCAACAGGCTTTCAAGAAGGATTCTGGGGCCTGCCCAGCATGGGCATCTCACAATCTCCCCTGCTGCTACATGCATCCCTTTCCAGCTCATACCCTGGGTATCAGAGAGGCTAACAATAGTTCCACTGCTCCACGAAAGGGCAAGCCCTTCTACTGCCCTGTGGCTCCCTTCACTGGGCCAGAAGCTCCATTCCTGAGCCACCCACTCCCTAATATATGTTGTATTCCTTTAGAAGGGAGGCAGAGGTGGAATCAGGCTTCAGGATTGAATCCCTGGGCCAAGAGCTTAATAAATTAATGCATATTTTCATTAAGCACCTTGTTCACAAAGTATCGTAAAGTCACCTGGGAAGGATACATGCTGTATTACAGGTGAAAAGTTGGAAGTTAGGCCTTCTTAGCCTCACCTGGATGACTACAGTAGCCTCCTAACTGGTCTCCCTACTTCCAGCCTCTCCCCTCTTCCATCCATCTTAAGCCTGGTTCCCAAAGTGCCCTTCCTTTATAAAGCACAGGGCTGCCTCTTGAGGTTCCCACTGCGTCTAGGCCCAAATCTAATTTTTGTCTCTTTGACGTTCACTAATGCCCTTCACACACTAGCTCCAGACTTCCTTCCAGACTTAGATTCCCCTCGCTTATCACTGGCCTGCACGTATCCCATCACCATATCTTTACATGACCCACCGCCATGCCTGGAATGCCCTCTCTCCACGACTACACCCCCTAGAAATCTCTAGCCTGGAAAGGTGGAGGCCTACAGGCATGGAATTCAGTAAGTATCATTAGGTTTAGCGGCTTCATCAGTCAGCTCTGCATAACTGTTTTTATCAGTTAATGTGTATATTAGGAAATAACTGTGATTTTTTTAAAGAGCATTTTTAAAAACTGGGGGGGAAAAGAAGAACAGGCCCAGGAACCACAGGGGACAAGAAGAAGGGGATCGCACCGAGGTATATTGTGGAACCAGTGAAATATCCAAGAAATAACAGGGAGCTGCTCCCATCTCTGGATGGGCCTTCTACGGCTACAAAACACATTCCTTCCAATAGGGCAAGTGGAGGCTTACGACAGGCAAACAATCTGTGCTGGAGGGGAAGGCAGGACAGATTATAGAAGCACACACCCAACATAACACAAAGTTCCATCTGAGACCCAAGGAAGGGATGGATACTTCCATAGCGAAGAATCAGGAAAGCCTTCAAGAGGACCTCGGACAATGGGGCTGAACCTGCTGCAGGACAAGATTTCAAATGCAGGAACAAGGGGGAGGAGTGATGTAGAAGTCTCAGGAATGGGACAGCCCAATCCTTGCAGGAGGGGAGCCTTGCATCAGGAGGAAGAAAGTAGGATGACATCTGGGCTGTCCCGCCTGGACACTGTGATGTAGATGAAAGGGCACTGGCCTTGAAGTTGAGACTCCAAGCTCTGATGCTCTTTAGCTGTGGGACCCTGGACAAGTCACCTGACCTCTCTGGGCCTCGGCCTCCTCTTCTGCAAAACCAATAACTGTTGCTCAGAGCCAGAGGCTGACTAGTCACTTATGGGCCAGACTCTAGACGATTCAGGGGCTTTTTTGTTGGAGGTGTGGGAGTGAGTACAAGAGTCATTAACAGGTTGATCTCAGTGACCTCAGAGGGCCATTCCAACTCTAAATTCCATGGCAATGACCTCCATGGCAGGAGTGAGCTGTGACAGCCAAGCAATCCGCCATTATTTCTTGGTGATGACTGGTGGAAACTGCCATCCCCAACCCCTGGGTGAGGTGTCCACTGGGGAGGGAGAGACAGAGGAGGCAGCAGCAGCGATTCCTCACTCCCCAGGGTGGTCTAGGAAAATAAGAGTGAGGACTGCCTCAAGAAGCACAGGAACGTGGAGGTTTCTGTTGCAATGCAAACTGCCAAAATCCTGCTAAATGTGATTACGGGAAAGGCAGCAAGATCCTTCTGTTTCCTCCTCTAGAATACAGGAATAACAAAATTCAGCTCTCAAGGAACTGAATTACAAAGATCGTATTTACAACCGCAGTCTCTGGTGATTCACACCCTAGGAGAGGAGAACGTACCATGTTAAGGGCTCTCCCCCCAGAGCAATGACGGAGTGCCACGAGGGCTTAGGTTTTAAAATTGCTTTTCCAGTGCAGCCTGGCTGGGCCATCTCCTTAACCCTTTCTCAATGAACAGCATACACATGTGATACAGGAGAGGGTACAGTCAGCCAGCATGGGTCCAAAACAGAGAGGTTTCCAAGAAGGGCTTGGGACAACACGCATCCAGGAGTCCTGGGGAAGGTTCAGGGACCGAGCTAGATGCCCTCTGAACTCAGGGGTCTAACGCCTGTGATTCCATAGCAACCCTGACCCTCACAACTTCATCCTCTTGCCCAGAATTTCCCAATGCTTTTCCAGTCCGTGACCCCTGCAGATGTATGCACTTTCTGTGACATTCCATTGGCCAATTGGGAAGATTCCTGAAGAAGAAAATATTGCTGAGAAAAGGAACTGTTTGCAGTATTTGGAAAAATGGAGACATCCTCTAATAAGATAATGGAGAGAGAACTTAAGGGAAAATGGAATTTATTAAAACAACAACACACACACCCCTACAGGAAATAGAATAATGAAGGCCCAGATGCATTTTAAAGTTTGCAGGCGTGATGAAGAATTGGAAATGAGGGGGGCAGCTAGGTGGCACAATAGATAGAGCTCCAGCCTTGGAGTCAGGAGGACCTGAGTTTAAATCACTTGACACTTACTAGCTACATGACCCTGGGCAAGACACTTAACCCCGTTGCCTAGCCAAAAAAAAAAAAAGATATTAAAAAAAAAGAATTGGAAATGAAGGAATGCCCATCAATTGGGGAATGGCTGAAAAAGTTGTGGTATACGATTGTGATGGCATACAATTGTGCTACAAGAAATGACAAGTGGGATGGCTTCAGAAAAACCTGGGAAATTTTATACGAACTGATGCAAAGTGAAGGGAGCAGAAACAGGAGAACACTGTACTCAGGAACAGCAATATTGTAAGATGAGCAATTGTGAATGACTCAGGTATTCTCAGGAAATATAATGATCTAAGACAATTCCAAAGGACTCATGATGAAAAGTGCTATCCACCTCCAGAGAAAGAACTTGTAAAGCCTGAATGCAGAGTGATGCATACTTTAAAAAAAAAAATTTTTTTTCATGGGTTTGTTTTTTTTTCTGGTCTGCGTCTTTCACAACATGACTACTACAGAAATATATTTTGTATGACTGCCCATGTATGACCTATATCAAATTGTCTGCCTTCTCAATGGGGGAGGAGGAAGAATTTGGAACTCAAAATTTTTAAAAATGAATGTTAAAAATTGTTTTTACATATAATTGGGGAAAAAATTTTAAATATTTTAAAAGTGTACAGGGCACTTTAGGTACAACAATCCTGGGGCGACATCTGTCTAGGAGTCAAAATAGGAGCTGAGCAAAGAAAAGGCAAGAGAAGGGAAAGGGATCAGAACCAAGGGAACGAGTGTAAAAACACATGAGAAAGGAGGAGAGAGAAAGCTGGGCAAAGCTGCTGGGGCCTCCAGGCGGCCACGGGGTGCACTGGGTCCTCAGGACAGCGGCTGCTACTGCTCCACAGCTACTTCTTCAAAGGGTTCCAGCCAGGGATGGCCCAGAGTCAGCTCATAAGATACAACAGGCCCAGCCTCCCTCATCGTCCCGCCTCCCAAGCTCAGAAAACAGATGTTCCCTAGGAGGATTCTGGTTTCCCTTTCTCTGATGGGCCAGCTCCTTCCAGGACCTCCATTTTAAGGAAAGTGCCTGCCCAGTCACATCTTCATATCCTCTGGGCTCCATTTCAGACTTCCCAGGCTTTCTCCACCAACCCCCGTGCAAACAACCTTCTTCCTCCCTCCTCCTCTTTCCCCTATTGGAACGTAAGCTCCTTGAAGGCAGGAATTGTCTTTCTTTCTGCTTGTTTTGGTATTCCCAGCACTTAGCACAATGCCTAGCAGTGAAAGCACTTAATAAATGTTTGGTGACCCACTGATTTATAGAGGAAAAAGGACAGAAAAAGCGTAACTAGCTATTCTCTGCTTCAGTTCTACAAGAGGGAATGAGGTGGTCCAAACTAAAGAGACGGGCCCTTTTCTCTAGACCAGTGGCCTCTTCACAGGCCCCTGCCTCATGCCCCTGTCCGTAAGCACAGAAATATGCTGCCAGCAGAAGGCTGGGGGTACAGTGGGAGTGGGGTGCACAGTGGTGCATGCTGGGTAAAGTGTATTAGGGAGAAAAGAGGGTTGCAGAAAATGACTAAGGGCATTTCACCAGGACTGCCTGAGAAGACAGAGCCTCAGTTGATCTAGATGGTTATGTGAAAGGCCTCAGCCAGATCTGGGAATCTGGGACACTATGGACGCAAACAAGGTCCCCTCATCATCAACAGCCCCTCTTCTCCCCTGGTGTCTCCTCTCACATTCCATGCCATCCAACTCACCGCTACTAAAGCCTGGCAAGGCTTCAGTCCATTTCTTTCAATTTTCTCTTATATCAGGGCACAAAAGTTACCAGTTCTAAAAATCAACCAAAAACATCACTTAGAAAATGGAAACTAAGAGAAAAGCTCCCATCTGTCCCTCAAGCTTGCTCCAGCGCTCTAAAGAGCTTTCCCAGAATCTAAGAAAATGAGCCTTTTCCTTTCCCTCTTGGAGAATGTTTGTGAAGACAATTGAACAGAGGGTGGTCTGGTAATCTAGGTCTCTGGGGGATCACATCCTGCTGGGTTAAGATGCTACTAACACGTAAACGGTATTTCAGGACACTCTAAATGCATTTCATCTGCACCACAAGTCACTGATGCAGAAAATAGGATCACAATACCAACTGAATTGAATTAAACTCAGCAAACATTTAAGCACCTATAACGGGTAGGACTCAGTGCTTGGTGACAATACTTCAATGCAAAGTGACAGTGGCATCTGCCCTCATGAGTAGGGAGAAGCTACGGCAAGTATATGAACTATGAACACGAGGCAGAAAGCGGCAAAGCAAGAAAGAGGCCCCATCTGTGCAATGAGAAGCATGGGTCAGGAGAGCTCATGTCCCTTTTTTATTTGGGGGGGTGGCGAACAGATGGGCAAAGAGGACTCAAGAAAGGTTTTATGGAGAAGGCAGCCCACCCACGGCCCTTCCTCAAAGCCTCCAGGAGAAGGGCAGCTACAACGGAAAGAACACGTCTGGCAGTCTGCTGAGAAGGCCTAGTGGGCACTGCAAGCCAGCCCAGGCTTAGAAGCCAGCTCTGCAGCAGCGGCAGCAGCATGGTGGTATTCGATATTTGGCTAAAAGCTACCGTAGACAACAAAGGAATATCAAAAATTTTCACAGCAAGCTTCTCTGATGAGGGCCTTACTTCTCAAATATATACTGAGTATGGAACTGAGCCAGGTTTATTTCAAAAAAAAAAGAACAATTCCCCAATTGAGAAATGACCAACGGATACAGACAGGCAGCTTTGAGAAGGAGATATAAAAGCTATCTAGAGTCACATGACTAGATCACTACTGATTAGAAAAAGGCAAATGAAAACAGCTCTGAGCTACCACCTCACACCATTGAAAAATGCTGGAGAGGATGAGGGAAAAATAAGGACATCAGTGAAGTGTTCATGGAGCAGTGAAGTGGTCCAACCCTTCTGGAGAACAATTTGGAACCAGGCCTAAAGGGCTACAAAACTGGGCATACCCTTTGAGCCAGCAATACCACTACCAGGTCTGTACCCCAAAGAGATCAAAGAAAAAGGCAAAGCTCCTATTTGTACAAAAATACTTCTAACAGCTTCTTTTTGTGGAGGCGAAGAATTGGAAAGTGAGGGGATGCCCATCCCACGGAGCTGAACAAGCTATGGCCTGTGATTGTGATGGAGTGCCATTGCGCTATAAGAAATGACAAAGGGGGGGCAGCTAGGTGGCGCAGTAAATAGAGCTCTGGCCTTGGAGTCAGGAGGATCTGAGTTCAAATCCAGCCTCAGACACTTAACACTTACTAGCTGTGTGACCTTGGGCAAGTCACTTAACCCCGATCGTCTCACTAAAAAAAAACAAAAGAAATGACAAAGGGAGTCGTTTCAGAAAAAACATGGCAAGATGTATATGAACCGATGCAAAATCAAGTGAGAAGAACTGGGAGATCACTGAGCACAGTAATAGTAATATTGTCATGACTGTCAGCTATGAAAGACTTGGCTACTCTGATCAATACAATGATCCAAGACAATTCTGAAGGAACAGTGAAGAAAAATGCTATCCATCACCGGAGAAAGAACTGATGAACTCTAAATGTAAACTGACATACCATTTTCTCTCTTTATTTTTCTTGCCTTTTTTTTCCAATATGGCTAATATGGAAATGTTTTGTATAATAAATGTTTTTGTATAATTAGTATCATATTGCTTGCCTTCTCAATGGTGGTGGAAGGGGTAGGAAGGAGAAAGAATTTAGAACTAAAAATTTAAAAAGACAAGAATTTTTACAATAAATAATAAATAGAAAAAAATGTTAATTGACTTATAAAATCCATCCCCAGATCATCCAAAGAACTCAAAACAAGATGGAATCTGGCCGCTGTTTAGGGGCCTCCCTGCTCCAGGATCTCAAGTGGCATTACAGCAGACTTTCCAGCTGAGGGAGAAAAGGCAGGGTCAGATCCTAGAGCTTCGGGGAGTCTCTGAAATCACGTACTCCCACATCTCATTTCACAAAGAAGGAAAAACTCACATCCAGGATGTGTTTAATTAAAGCTTGCCAGATACCTGGTTGGATCTGGGCTTAACAGAATATTTCAATACGCTGCCGTGGCCAAAACAACTTACTAGCCAGTGGCCACTCCTGAGCTTTGTGGGCTCCTGTACCAAGGCCTGTGTGGCTGGGCCCACAACAGAGCTTGTCTGCTGAGCTCATCCGTGTCCTGGGAGAGTCTCTGAGTGCCCAAGGCCAGTGCCATGATGAGCTGAGGCCTGGCAGGGCCCTTAACACATCATGGAGGGATATCAGCTCTGTGATGTAACTTAGAATGGAGGCAATACCACGCTCTGCCTTCTGCCTGTCTTCCTGTACCATCTATCTCCTTCACCAGTCTTAAGCAATGGCATTTCCTGTGATGGCCTAATACCAGGGCACTGAGACATGTAACAACCTGAGGCTTTTTAAATACGCCCACAAGAGGTAATCCAGGCTACAGACTGTCTGGAAGAGCCAGGGATGGAAAGCTCACTACCTTGGTGATCTTAAGAAAAGAATGGAGAGAAAGAAGAAGAGGAATACACTGGGGGGGGGGGGTACACGAGACAATTATCTCACATGGGGGGTGCAGCTGACTCTCATCTGAACCGATCAAAGGAAGGAAAAATACACACACATATGGAGTACAGTACAGAAACACATTTCATTCAACAGAGAAACAGGAGCCAAGAGAGAGAAGGAAGAAGGGGGAACTAAAGTAAGAGCAGATTAAGAGAGGGGCAGCTATGTGATGCCATAGTGCACATAGCACTGAGCCCAGAGTCAGGAAAACTCATCTTCATGAGTTCAAATCTGGCCTCAGACACTTACTAGCTGCGTGACCCTGGGCAAGCCTTAGTTTCCTCATGTATAAAATGGTCTGGAAAAGGAAATGGCAAACCAGTGTCTACCAAGAAGGCCCCAAATGGGGTCACAAACAGTCAGACACAAGTGAACAAGATTAAGAGAGGGATTATTCCTAAGCAAAACAATTCTAAAGACGTATAAAAATATTTATAGCAGCAATTTCTGAGGTGGCCAAGAATGGGAATCTGAGGGGACGCCCATAAACTGGGGAAAGGACAAACAAGCTACAATACGTAAATGTGATGGAACACTACTGTGCTAGAGATGATGAGGAAGATGGTTTCAGAGAAACCTAGGAAGACTCATGAACCGATACAGAGGGAAGTGAGCAGACTCGGGAGAATGATTTATTCAATGACATCAATATGGTAAAGGAAAACAACTCTGACAGAACTAAGAACTCTGATTAGCGTAATGAGTAATGCCCAACCACAATTCTAGAGCACTAATGACGAAAAAGTCTCCCTACCTGCCTGATAAACAAAGAACTCAAGAGCGCAGAATGAGACATACGTTTTTCTGGTCACAGCCAATGTGGAAATCTATTTTTACTGACTACATGTTTGTAACAGGGTTTGTTTTTCTTTATTTCTCAAGTAGGAGCAAACGGAGTAGAGGTGAGGCAAGAGTTTATAGTTTATAGTTAATAACAAGTACACTTTTCAGATTATGAAGAGAAAGCTGCATTGAAAACTTTAAAAAGGCAGATGTTTATTGATTGAAAACAAAATATCGATTAAAAAAAAAAGGAAAGCTCACTAACCCCTGCCGTAGCATATTCTGAGTCAGAAAAGAACATGGTACATAAATTTACTGTTACTTAGTTAAAAGTATATAACTACTTCGGATGCTGCAGTTTTATTGGGGTGTCTCCATTCTGTTGCTGGCTAGTTAGCTGAGAATATTTTTAAAGCTAAAATCCAAAGCACAGAAGAAGAGCGCATCCGGCCACGTCTGGGCCCGTGCCAGGACCACAGACCAAATTTCTAGGTTTGTCCAGTCTTCTCACCACTCACCTGGACAGCCAACCTCGTCACTCTCATCTTCGCAGGTCCCCCTGCCGTCACATTGCCAGGAAAGGGGGATGCACTGGATGGCACCACTGCGACAAGCAAATTGGCCTGGGTTGCACCGCAATTCTACAAGACACAAGTTCACAACATAATTAAGGCAGTGGAGACAACCTGATGTGTCCCATGCAAAGACAGCTGCTTGGCTGACTGAGTACTCCAAGATGGAACATGATGGAACAGATTAAGTCTGGCTTAATCAATTTAAAAACATTTATTAGGGTACGGGTGCTGGGGATACCTCAAAAAGCCTACTTTCTAGTGGGGAACTCCCCATGTCCACTCATCAGCAGATACAAGGGAAGGCACTCATCAATGAGGACATGCCCCCAGAGCTGAGCCTGGAGGAAGAGAAGTCATAAGGGAGATGGCATTCAAGATGGAGGGCACGTCAAGTACCAGGATGATGCCCGGAGACAGGGCTCCAGGGAAAGTAACACAATTTTGGTAGAACTGAAAGCTTGGGAAGGGGAAGAAAGGATTGGGTAACTTGCTGGTCCTTTTCAATAAGGAATCAAATAATTCTTTTTAGGTAACTCACTGACAATAGAAAGACCTCTGTTGGTCCTTCCTCCATTCTATTTCCTTCCCACTTCTCCACTAAGGCTACAGGGCCAATGAATCATATCCTCGTTCCTAGAACCCCAAAAGGACATAGATTAATGAATGTACTTATAAAGAAAAAGTGAAAGGCTTTAGTAAAAATACAAAGTTGATGGAATTGAAAAGAAGTATCATTCCGAATAAAACCAGAGTCTTGCACTTGAGACTTCCTTGACTACCGTCTTGTAACCTGGAGATGAGCTTTGGGTCTCCAAAGCTTAGCCATCAGAACATAATCTCCAGGTGGGTGAGGCTAATGAAAGGCAGTATGATTTTATCCAAGAACCAGTCTCATTTAAGAGGCTCGCCAAAAACAAGGTAGGTGATTTCTTTTTTCCAACAGCAACTTAAAAACTACTCTAAGGCATGGAAGAACGGTAAGCTACACTGATAAAACTAGTGGTCACTTAAAATACTAAAGGAGAATTACAGCCCCCATCTCATACAACACTTCACTTTACTTTGCTCCTACCACATTTCTGTGATGTTGGGCTGTAAGCTCCATGGGAACACGGACTTCTCTTACCTAAACTTTCTATCATTCAGTTAGGGCCAGCCACAGTGCTCTGGGCATGGGGGGCAGGCCTTTCATAAATGGTTGCTGAATGAATATGTAGGTTGAATTAAATACCATAAATGATGAACATACTGCAGTGTAAAGACACAGGAAACAATTTTCAGTCGTATAAAAGAAAAACAACACATTTCTTAACTGACATTCTTAGCCAATAAACCTGAATGGAGGCAGGCACATGGTGGGTTAAGAGCTGTGCAGAGGTCTTGCAAATGTATAAACTCAGGCAAGTCAAAACCACTCTCGACTTTCCATCTTTGATTCTCTCTACCACTGGACGCATGGTATAGAGTTCAAAGGAAATGTGCCCTACAAACTGATCACACATTTAAGATTAAACAGCAACATGTATTCTGATATGAAAGGACAGCACGGCTTTCAAAGACAATGCATGGGGTTGGATGGGGTTGGAGACCTGGACTATAGTTTAAAAGGGGAGAGAAGGCACCAAGGGGAAATCTCATTCTCTATCCTATCTTCACCACAGGCAGAAGCGCCACTCTTCTTGGATGGAGAGGACGGAGACCCTGAAAGGAGTAGAGTATTCACCTCTTTCCTACCTCAACCCGTACCCACACCCTTCCCCTGACAGAGTCTGTGAGGGAGGAGAAGAAAGGCTGACATATCTGACATGCACCACAGGGGCTGGGAGAGCACATCTCAAAAGGTTCACAGCAAGGGCAGGTAGGATTCCAGAGAGGAACATTCAGAGGGGAAGTCAGCCCAGCACAGACAGGAAACCTGCTAAGAATGAAATCTGAAGAAACAAAGAGAGGGGTCCACAACCAGCTCAGGTGTGCCCAGAAGCTCAGCAGCAAGGGACGGAAACAGAGGAGAGATCCAGAGCCCTCACAGCCCAGCGCAGCACCAAGAACATCGGGAGGACTCGTGCTCAGAATGAGCTGGGCCAGGAAGGGAACGGAACACAACCGATGGGAGGGTTAGCTGGACTGAGGAAGAGGAAGATGAAAAAAGGGACGATCAAACATGGCATTTAAAGCCCTTCCTACCTTCCCAGCTTTCTTGTACTTCTCCCCCTTCCATCCGCTCTATGAGCCAACCTCATGGCCACCTTCCTGTTCCTCACACAAGTCACTATATGTCCAACCTCGACACCTTTGCCCCCGTTGTCCTCCCCGCCAGGCGTGCTCTTCTTCTTCACCTCCACCTCTCAGCTCCCCTCTTCTGCAGGAGATCTCTTCCAGTCACCCCTTCCCCTGTGGTTTCCTTCCATTTACACTGTAGAAACTTCACACGTACAGGGTTATTTGTATGCAGTCTCCCCTATTTGAATGTGAGGTGCTCGAGAGCAGGGACCGCATTTGCACCTGTTCTGGTATTCCTAGTGCCTGGCACGTTGTAAGTGCTTAATAAATGCCTGCCAACTGACTGACTGACTGACTTTGTATCCCCATATCCAAAACTGACATGGAACAGGAAGAAGGGAAGCCAAGAGCTCTCCCTCGTTAGAAGTCTTCCAACAGCGGCAGCCTAGGTGGCGCAATGGACAGAGCTACATGTGAACCCAAGCCCTCGAGACTCCTTCACTAAGCTACACTGTTTCTAAAGCCCAAATTAGTAAAGTAGAGGAATGAGCCGACAACTCAAAGAAAGTTTACATATGATGACAGTCCTTGGTGTGAGGAGTTCTCAAAGGAAGAAATCCAAGCTACAAAAGACATAAGAAAAAGTGCTCCACAATTTGGAACTCTGCCCACAGGGCTACAAAAATGTGCATGCCCTTTGACCCAGCAACAGCACTGCTAGGGCCGTGTCCCAGAGAGATCACACAGATGGGGAAAGGACCCACATGTGCAGAAATATCCATAGCAGCTCTTTCTGTGCTGGCAAAGAACTGGAAATGGAGAGCATGCCCATCAGTGGGGGGAATGGCTGAGCAAGCTGTGGTGTGTGATTGTAACGCAATACTATTACTCTGTAAGAAATGGTGAGCAGGCAGACTTCAGAAAAACCTGGAAAGACTCGTATGGACTGAAAAATGGGCAGAACCAGGAGAACACTGTATACACAATAACAGCCACACTGTGCAGTGACTAACTTTGACAGACATAGCTCCTCTCAGCAATGAAAGGATCTAAGACAACTCCAAAAGACTCGTAATGGAAGATGCTATCCACATCCAGAGAGGGAACGATGGAGTTGGAATGCTGATCGAAGCAGACTATTCGCTCTTTTTGTTTGTTTTATTTCTTCTTTCTCGTGGTTCTTCCCATTCATTCTAAATTTTCTTTACAACACGACTAACGTGAAAATACATTTAATAAGAATGTATATGTATAGCCTATATCAGATTGCACACCGTCTTGGGGGGGGAAGGCAGGGAGGGGGAGAAAATTTTAAACTCAAAAGCTTATGGAAGTGAATGCTGAAAACTAAAAATAAATTAACTAATTTTAAGAAATGTTTACAAAGTGCTCCAAATCACTAATAATTGGAAAAATGCATGTTGAAGCAACTCAGAGGTCAAACATCACACCAGTCAGTTTGGCCACGTTGACAGAAAAGGAAAACGGTGACTTGAAGGGGCTGCCGACTGAACTCTAATGATGACTGAGCCACTCCAGCAAATGATTTGCAGCCACACCCAGAAGTCATTATACTGAGGATAACTTCTAACCCACTGATAGGTCTATTAGGGCTGACCCCAAAGAGACCAAAGAAGGGAGAAAAGACCCAACGTGTACTAAAATACTTAGAAGGACTCTTTTTGTTATAGCAAAGAAGGATGCAGAGGGGGGTGCCCATCAATTAAGGAAAGGCTAAAGAGGGATATCATTATTCTGCTATAGAAAGGACAAGGGGCACAGTGCTAGCACACAATAGGCACTTATGTTTTCTGACTGCCTCAGAAGACTTGCATAAACTGATGAAGAATGAAATGAGCAGAAGCATAATTGGTAACCAAGTCCACTGTAAAGGAAAACAAGTCTGAAAGCCTCACGGATTCTGATCGACGCCGTGGCCAGCCACGTCTCCACAGGCCCAATGATGAAGCAAAGCTACACATATCCTGAGAAACAGGACTCAAGATGCAGGACAGGACATACGTTCTAGGATGTGGCAAATGTGCAGATTTATTCTGTTTGACCATTTATTTAATATAAGCACGTGGGGCTTTTTTACTGGGGGGCGGTGTAGAGAATTGGGAGCAGAGGAAGGCTTAAAAATAAATACATCTTTTTTAAAGTATTAAGGGAAAAACCAAGAAGGTTCTCAGAGGTCATATGCAGGAACACAGATGTAGACTCGGGAGGAATTTTAGAGGCATTCTAGCACAACTCCCTTTATTTTACAGATGAGGAAACAAAGGCCCAAAGAAGACATAAGACTTACCCAGAAACACATAGTAGCAAGTGACAGGTGGGATCTGTACTCAATTTTTCTCACCTGAGCACCAATTCCTTCACAAATGGGACATTTTAAGTGACTTTTTAAAGAACTATTTACAAATAAAATCCCACCTTAATACAGCGCTCTGAGAACAAGCCCCAAAGCCCTAACCTTCCAAAAGCACTCACACAGCTTTGAAACAATGCGCAGCTTCGGCCTAAAGCTGTCCTGGTCACTCCCACTGGACGCCTTACACAGTCATGGCCCCTTCCTCACTCAATCCACTCGCAGTTCATAAACATTCCCCATCTGCACAAAAGGTCAGCTGACCACCACTTTGCTGCCATCTTCAGACTCCAAACAGCCCCTAGAAAGACCCGGACCAAGAAGGCCCATGGCCCCCAGCACCAAGAATGAGAAATGACCCCACTCCACGTCCCCCTTGGTGAGCCTTTGATCACATCATGTCCCCACCTCCATAGTACCAGCCTTCATTCAAGCAGTGAAACAATTTTCACACACACACACACCCCTCTTCTTC